CAAAAGGACAAGAAATCAAAAGATGAGTAGCCGTCTCACCATCTCTTAAGCAAAGGTAACAGACATGTGGGAAAGCCTTTTTCTTTGAAGTATATCCATAGTATTGATCTTTTTGAAGAGCCCCTTCCTAGCAAAAAGCCCTAACCTTTGGCGGCATAGGAGAATAGCATATTTCTTTAGCAGGAAAAAAGACAAACACAAAAGAAGACTGAACTAAGGCGTTGAAAAAAGATGAACAAGAGAAAGTCCCTAAAGAGGACTCTTTCCAAATTCTACTATCTGGGCAGGAAAGATCTAGGAAAATTGAATTCAACAAAGTGAATAACTCATCTGCAGAAGCCAATTCTGAATCCCTCAACCCTCTTCTCAAACCCAAATCCCAAGTCCCCTCAGACACACGAAGTGAGGAATGGTTTTGAATTTATTTAGGGAAAGAGAATGCATTACTGGGAATCTATCCTTAAGGGGGGTGTTCCCAAGCCAAAGGTCCTCCCAAAACAAAATTTTATTACCTGAGCACACATCAAATCTGATGAAAGGCTAAAAGGAAGACAAGACTCCAGCAATTGCTTTCCAAGGGGAGAAATGAGAAGCCCTAGGGTCGACGCCAACATCCCATCCATTAGCTTCCATTCCATGAATACTTTCCACCACCAAGTGCCACAAGCTGTCTTGCTCCAAAGGAAATCTCTACAACCACTTTCCTAACAAAGCTACATTTCTAAATCTGATATTGCCAATGCCTAGACCCACCACTTCCTTTTTCCTAGAAACTACTTCCCACTTCACTAAATGGTCCTTTTTTGAGTCACCCAGTTCCCACAGAAAATCTCTCGTGAGCTTTTCTAACTTATTGGCAACCTTGGCAAGAAGCTTAAAGGTAGATAGAAAATACACCGGAAGGTTTGCCAGAGTGGACTTGATTAAAGTGATTCTACTCCCTAGTGAGATATAATTTCTCTTCCACACTGCTAGCTTCTTAGTGAATCTTTCTAAAACTGGGTACCAAAAGATTTCTGTTCTAGAATTTCCCCCCAGGGGCAAACCTAAATATACCAGAGGCTAACCACTTACCTCACAACCTAAAGCCCTAGCCACCAACTACACTTCATCATCCCGTAAATTCACCCCCACTACACAACTCTTGTTCAAATTGATTTTCAGATTAGAGACTCTCAAAATGCATCACCACCAATCTCAAATTATCCATCTCCTCAATTTCCCCTTCACAAAAGAGAATGATATCATCCGCAAATTGTAGGTAAGTGACAATCACTTGTTGCCTCCCAACTCTCCATCCTTTCAGTAGATTTCTTGAATCAGCCCTAGAAATCAAGACACTTAGGATATCTACTACTAAGGTGAAGAGGAAAGGTGACAAAGGGTCTCCTTGTCTAAGGCCCCTCTTTGCAAGGAAGAAGTCCCTAGCTACTCCATTCACTAAGATTGAGAAGTGACAAGAGGTAACACAACCCTTCATCCACTTACACCATCTCTCCCCAAAGCCTCTATTCTTCAACACTTCTAGCAAGAAATCCCAATCCACCAAATCATAAGCCTTTTCTAAGTCAAGTTTACAGATCAGACCCTTTTCTCCTTTTCTTTTTTTGTAATCCACACATTCATTGGCTATTAAAATATGATCAATAATTTGCCTCCCTTTCACAAAGGCTCCTTGATTCGGTGAGATTAAGGAATGAACAACTTTCTTGAGTCTTAGTGCAAGAACTTTAGAAATGATCTTATACAAACTCCCAATCAGACTGATCGGTCTAAAGTCCTTGAGCTGAACTGCAAGCACCTTCTTAGGGATCAAAGCTATGAAGGTAGCATTTGCACCCGCATTTAATTTTCCTCTTTCAAAGAATTCCAAGAAGACCTCCACTAGGTCATCACCTAAAATGTCCCAACAGTCTTGATAAAAAGCCATAGTGAATCCATCCAGGCCTGGGGCTTTTGATCTTTCCATAGAGAAAATTGTTTCCTTTATTTCTTGAACCTCAAATGGTCTTTCCAAGGGTTCCAACAATTCCCTTTCTCCAACATGCCACTCAAAGTCAGTTAGAGTCTCTCTTACTCTACTGGGGCTGTCATAAATGGATTTAAAATGCTCCACAAAAGCTTTTGCAATTTCTTCCTCTCTTGTCAGCATTGCCCCATTCCATTCCAAACTTTCTACTATGTTCTTCCTCTTTCTTCCACTTGCCAAGYTATGGAAAAATCTTGTATTACCATCTCCTTCTTTCAATCACTTGCATCTTGATTTTTGTCTCCAGCTTATCTCTTCTTTTCTGAGAATTTCCTCCAACTCTTGTTTCAACTTCCATCTCTCTTCCCTTTCTTCACGCCTCAACCCTCTCTCTACCTCAGCAACATCAAGTTCTTAAATCCTTTTACTAATAGCCTCCTTTTTGTCTTCAATTCTACCAAACTCTTCTTTGTTCCAAGCTTTGATCCTGGCTTTTAGCTTTTGTAGCTTCTTATAAAATCAAAATCCCTTCCATCTAAACTCCACCTGATCCTCTTCCCACCATTCTTTTACTTTCTTTTGAAAGCCTGGATGTAACAATTCATCTTTTCATCTACAACAAAGAATTGGGTGGTTCATTAGATGGATGTGAAAAAGGCCTTTTTGCATGGACATTTGAAGGAGACAGTGTATATGAAGCCACCCCCTAGTTATTGTGATGATCCTAATCTTGTTTGTTGCCTCAAGAAGTCACTATATAGTCTCAAACAAGCACCTAGGACCTGGTTTAAGAGACTAGATCGATTATTATTGATGTTGGTTTCACTCAGAGCTCCTCAAACTACTCTTTTTTCACCTCATAGTGTCCTTAGGGTATCACTTGCTACTCTATGTTGATGATATATTCTCATAATTGGTGATGACCAAGGTGGTATACATCAGCTAAAGCAACTTCTCAGTCAATCCTTCAAGATGAAGGATCTAGGTCCTATGACATACTTTCTAGGCATAGAAGTTGATTATAATTCTTGTGACTACTTTGTTAATCAGCAAAAGTATGCTACTAACTTGGTCAAGCTTGCTCATCATACAAATACCAAGTTGATATTCCAAGTCAATAGGATGCTACTTTGTACCCTAGGTTTAAAGTATTGACATATCTGATATGCACAAACAGACGTATCAGGTGTTCTGATGCAACAAAACACTCTTTTTTTGTTTTTTTTTCAAAATTGGTCTAGGGTCGATCTTAGGCTTGCCTACCACCTAAAAATGCCCAAATTCCCAAAGCCCCTTTATTTCCTCTCTCAAAGCCCCATCGTATGGGGCATATGGTATTGAAATTTTGAACCTTACCTATATAGTCGACTTGTGGGGGGCCTTATTTATCTCACCATGACACGCCCAGACATATCTTAGAGTTCAGATTGTTAGCAGTTTGTTCCCTCTCCTCGCTAGCCATACATGATAGTTGAGCATCCTATTATCTAATATGKTAGGGGTACCTTTATCTTATGGTCTTTTCTTTCCCTCCACTTCATCTCTCTAGCTATCAACTTATGCAAATGCTGACTGGATTGGTTGCCCAGATACTAGACACTCTATATTGGGTGATGTATCTTTCTAGGTGATTAAGTTATTTCTTGGAAATGTAAGAAGAAGTAGCAGACCATTTCCAATTCTTCTACCGAATCAAAATATCAAGCCATGTCTTCGGCAAGTAGTGAAATTATTTGGCTCGTCACTTTTCTGTTATCTCTATATTGACGAATCATCTATTATCCCCTCATTGGCTAACAATATTAGCACAACCAAGATTGCTTCTAATCCAATTTTCCATGAGAGGACGAAGCATATTGAAGTAGACTGCCACTTTATTTGGGATCTCCTTACTACATACCACATCTCACTTCCTCATGTTTCTTCTAACCTTCAATTGGCAGACATCTTCAGAAAAGCTATGACAAGAGCCAGACATACTTTTCTTATGGGCAAACTAATGCTAGTGCCCTTGCATCAGTTTAAGGGGGAGTGTAGAGACAATGAGGGTTAAAGTTGTAATTTACTTGTTCTTGTTGTACACATTCATTTATTCTTGTATTATATACTTTTACTTCTTGTATCATAAGGGTGAAAGTGCCATTTCATTTCTTTTTAATATAAATACCTTTCTCTTGGTTTGGTTGAACACAAGAAACACCACAAAATCTATTTGTCTTCTCTTGTTCGAACTGCACTGACAACTTTATGTATAGTGCAAATAGTTTACATATGTCACCTATCTAAAAGAAATAGCTTACATATATCTTGATTTGGGCTTTTGGCTTTTTGTATCAAGCCCTTGCTTTTTTGTGTATCCTCTCTTGTATTTCTCTCCTTTTGAATAAAATCATTACCCTTTTTTCAAAAAGAAAAACAAGTCGTTTACCATCAAATCATCATACGGTCCCAAGGATCTATTGCCTAGAAAGGCAAATTTTGTCACCAAAAAGTCAATCCAATAATGAAATAGAAGAATACCTACTTCAACAATAGAAACACAAACACCATGCAAGATAGAGCCAGCTCCATGTCATCATTTGATGTTGTTCAAATTAAGGACTAATACACAGTGACATGGAACCGTGATTGGTAATAAACATAGACATGGTTATCAGCATTGGTGCCTAAAGATGGGAGCTTTACATTAAACTAAGCATTGGAAAATTTTCTCCATCTTCTCTACTATCCCATATGACACATTTTACCTACAACAATGACCATAATCTGCAATTCTGTTTCCCTATCTATTAGTATTTACTTGAAACTTTGTCCAAGGAAAAGTCTAGCCTCTATTTGTGGAAGTTTCTTGTTCATTTACTTTGTTAATTGTTATAGATGGCTTTAGCTACCCTATTAAGCTGGCAAAACAACATGGTTCCTCCTTTTCATCAGTCCTATCCTATCCCTATCATTGGCCCTGCTATCTATAACATAAAGATAGCTTCTTCCTTGAGAAACAAGAACCCAATAGAAAATGTATGAATCATACCTAAGAATGCCTGAAAGAACGATATTATGAATTTATGTCCAAAGACAAATTATCCCTGTTCATCAAAAAGAACTGAAACTCCAACCCTCCTGAGTACTTCCAGAGATAGGGTTAATTGAACCCAAGCAATCTTCAGTTTAACCCAAGAAAATCAGTCCCCGTTGCCTGTTTAATACATGGCAAACGCATCATTAACTACCAGGTATTGGAATTCCAGATCTCCTTAGCATGAGACCTAAACATATCTAAAAAGAAACATGAACCGAAAACAATCTTAAGACTCTTCTTTCCTCTCATTTCCTTGGAACTCTCTTATCATCTTTGCACGTTTTAGTAAAGCGCCAACCCATCAAAGTGATCCATTACAAAAAAAAAAAAAAAACTGCATAGCCATCAAAAGGAGAAAAAAAAAAAAACACATTTTTAAGTATGTAAAAGAAAAGCATAGAATAGTTGCAATTTCTATTAAATGATGACAACAGAAAAATAAGTAAATCAAAAGTGAAATGGATAACCGTTAAAACAATAAAGGACATGAAAATCGATATTCATAAAGGATCAAAAGTGAAACTTCCATCGACTAAACAGAAATAAGTAAAATAAATGAGATACTTCACAACCGAAGATGCCTCTTTATCAGATTTAATCTCGAAAGAATCCCATTTCTTTTTATTTTAACTATGCCTATAGACATGGAGTGGATAGTATAATAATTTGGCATGAAACTCACGACAAAAGTCACCTGGGTCTTTCCAGCCTTTTGTTACTGAATTTCCATAGAGCTGGTAAAAGAATAGAATAACCAAATGCCACCGAGAACGCACAAGTCAGAAACACTGAGGAACAGAAGAATTTCAAACAATAGATTTAATACATGTTTGCAGACCTTTGCATGCACCCAATATTTAATCGACAGAGAGATGTCTGATCTTCCCACTCTTCTTTAACGAATCTGCAAGGAACAAACCAAACAAACAGAGCAGAGAGAGAGAGAGAAAGATTTAATTGTAATTAAGCTTGCTGCGGATGTTGTAAGTGCTTGCTATGGGATATCTTTGCACAAGAGGGGAAAGTGGAGGAAATGTGCTGCCAGAACCCAGAGGACACTTGCCTTGGGGAGAAGTAAATTGAGTTCGTTTGAGTCCCTCAGATTTTATTGGTTTTCTACCCACGACGTGCGCCTAACCCACCACGCATTATCTGTCATCTTTACACTTGTATGGCTGTACTTTCTCAACGTACAGAGAGGGGTCATCCTAACAGTGCATCCCACCGTGTATAGCAGAACATCCCGCCGTGCATTTAGAATATCATCGATCATTAATAATGGGAAAATTCCAGATTGTACCCTGTACTTTACGAGTAGTTTCAAGTTAGCTGCTGAACTTCAAAAATCATGTCACCTGTACTTCAGGGTAGTGTGAAGTTAATCCATCAACTTTAAATCGTATCACCCTATCTAAATTTTAGAAAATGTTAATTTAGTACCCGTTGTTAATAATTTATCAGTTCTAAAATTACCGTTGAAGAAGACAATGTCCTTCCTTGGACGGATATAACACTGTAATACGATTGATCAGAACCGAATATGAGAGAGATGAGTTCGTCAGCTTCAACTAAGGGCGGCAAGGGAATGCCAAAGGCTTCCAAATCGGTTTTCAGGTCTCAGAAGGCCGGTCTACAGTTCCCCGTGGGGAGGATTGCCAGGTTTCTCAAAGCCAGCAAATATATTGAGTGTGTTGGTGTAGGAGCTCCGGTCTATCTCTCGCCTGTTATTGAAAACTAGCTTGTCTTCATCGGTTGGAGCCCAGCTAACATTCGTATAATGATTAACCAGTYAATTTGTCAAAACCCAGAAAGCAAACGAACATATTTCAAGCTTTGGTGGAGCTTGAGTACATACGCGATGTTCATAGTATGGGAAACGTTAAATGTATGCAAAGCAATTTTAAGAGATGTATTTAGATAGCTTTATATATTTATATACGTATGTGTATTAGAGAAAAATTAAGAAACGAGATATATACGCTTAGAAATATTATAAATACTTTAATAAATCATAAAAATACTGAAGGAAGGTGAAATCCATCATATAGATGGCCGAACCATGTCAGATGGTTGGGTGAAATTTCAAAATTTTTTTTGTAACCTTCTGGGAATCGTATTCTCAGTTTTAGAAAAATTGCCTTTTTTTTAGAATCGTCCTTGCATCGAAACTAGACCAGATATGAAATCAAAAGAAATGAAGAAGTATACCTGATACGGATTCCACAAATGTAGCTCCCAAAGTGGTAGTTCACGCCCAAACTAAATCTCAAAACCAGTTTCCATTGAAGATGGTGCAACTTGAGTTGAAGCCAGTTCAGCAACGTAATTTTCAGCAAAACTACAAYCCAACACCTTGGATTGTATAAGAGAGGTGAGCACGAATTTTCTCTGTATTTTTCTTGCAAAAATCAGAGGTGGAACTGATCAAGATCAGTCCAAGAAGTGGATGTCAAATTAGGGTTTCTAGGGCAACAAGAACAGAGAGAGAGAATTGAGAGCAGAGTTAATTGGAGCAGATTCAATCTCCTATTTTCTTAGTCTTAAGGATCATCACTCCTAATCAAATAAGGAGGTTCTTAATCCAAATATTTATTTAGATTTGGACTGTCTATGTGGATAATACTTATCCTCTTATCTTAATGGTTGATCCAGACTCGTATTCAAACCCATATTTGCCCAAATCACATGACTGCTCAATCTRTCATGTGACACCCTGATTAATCCAATTAATCATGGGCTTTAGACCCAATAAGCAAGTGGCTAATGTCCCTAGGTAGTTGCTAGTCCATTTAGGTTCACTTTGTATGGTGTGGGACCCCAACAATGACCTTACATAATCCCACATGGATTCGGCCCAGCCTCTATGAAAAGGCTTGGCTAAATTCACTATCAAGTACAATGAACCCCTGAATCCATCAATATAGACTCTTAATGGGCCCAATATTTACAGTAAATGATCCTTGAGTCCAGCCATCCTATGAAGGCCCAAGGACAATGGATTTAAGTAAGATATAGTCCATCAGGTAAATAGCCCTTAATGGTCTCTTACACTGAACCTCTCAGCCCAAAATGATCAAACACTACCCGACAGGGAAGGACCTCTCCCATGGCTGCGAGGTGTAGTGTTGCACTCTCTGCTCGGATGGGTCCTAGGAATTAAAACTTTTGCAAACATTTTTCTTAAAAACATAATATTATATATATAATATAAATATAAAAATATATTTTGCAAAACAAATCATGGTTGAAATCTACCGACAGTTTTGGTTTCCATCAGAGAGAGTGCAGTCCCAATCATTCACTTTTTTTTACTAAGGGGCTGATCCTGTCACTATGATCTCCTACTCGAGTGAATTCTCAGACTGCCCCAACATACCCAAGTTTTGACCCCCAAAGGATCTCACTGATTGGCATATCAAAGACAGTCTGATCCAACACTCGGTACAGTACCATAATCAAGTCTAGGGGTTATGTATAACTTTTCAGTTTTGCCCATCAGTCTCCAAGGTCCAAGGCATAACTGGAAATTGGTCTGAGTTCAGTGTTTCAAACAAACATACACTACATGTGTTTTAGGTCCAACCCTAGCAGCTGAGAAAGGATGCCCCAACTTTCTTGGTAGCACATTAGTGTCAACCTTGGCAGGATAAACTCTCCAAGTTTAACCAACAGCTGAGAACATTCTAAATTAACATGAGTCCCATAAGTGTCTAGTTTAAGGGGTAATTACACAAAAACACACAAATCATAACATGAAACAATTATATACTTTTACTCATTTACAATAAATGTATCAGTACATCAATTTGATTGGAGCTAAGGGCATACACTATCCAACAAATACATCAACACTAAATATAAGACGTCAATGAGGTGTATATACATTAAATTAATATATTTTAATGGTTTTATGAAGAAATATATTGTAGCTAATTATAATTTCATTAAAAATCCTATGCTTAACTATAACATATAAATTATAACTCTTAAGTTCTAAAGCTTTATGGGATGGGAAAAACCCAACTCTCCTATCCCACCATAAAACATGCATTGGCACAACTTCTATGTGAAAATATAATTAATAGTTATTTATTATTCATTTATGATGGTTCACAATCTAGTCACTCCTAATTGGATGGAAGCTTAGATGTCGGTCTGCTTAGATGGTCGGACAAACTGCAAGAAAGTATGATCAGAGGACTCGGGGTGGCTTACCCGGTGTGGGCACTCTGATGCTTAAGTTAGCTAATAGACTTTGCAAGTTGAAAAGCTTATAAGCAAGAGAGCTAGTGAGCTAATATTGCACATACCTTTTAACATTGGGGTTGAAGCCCTTAAATAGGCGAGTTGTCTTAGGTCTTACGAAACACCTCCGAGATCCCTGGCCCGCGTTACCAAGAGTCTGTTCCGCACCCGGAGATGGACTTTGTGTGAGCTGATAAGCCTTATCAAGTCTGTCTGATCCAGGCGGGATGAGGATGAGGCTTTGTACGTGCGGTGTGATCCCGGAAAAGGTCAAAGACAGTTGGCTAGCTTCTAGAAGTTGGCTACGTGTCACCTCGATAGGTCGGGCCATCACTCACTGCTCAGGCCTCGGTCTTGGCCGAGGTGCCCAAGGTACCCGAGCGGACCTAGCCGGCTGAGGTGGCAAGAAATGCCAAGTCGTCATCTAGAAATCAGGTCATTCCACGTGTCCGCATGCTAATAGGTTGGGCCAAATTACCCCTCATCAATTGCCCCCCACTCCCATGCTAGAGGTGATCAACTCAGTGCAGGAGTTCATGACGAGCCTGGGTAAATTTGGTCTGGTCTCCAACTGGGTTGACATCTGGTTTATAGGTTAAACCTGATTGACCCAATTGGCTCAACAAKAGAATTAGATCACGTCTCAGGAACATGTAGATGTCACGCAAACTATAAAGTCTGCGGACTTCAAACACACGCTCAACTGAATTTGACCTTGAAAGTCGAGCGACTACCCTCTTGGGAGTCGTTGGATCAGATTAATCTGGACCGTCCGTGTTCGGCCATACTGGCTATAAATAGGGCCCTTGGGGACCCATTTTTCCTTGTCTTGCTTAAGTTCTCACACTTGGAGGTCGTGCACTAACTTTGATGTCACCAGGTCGGTCTTCAGTCTTCTATCTTCAAGGTTGGTCGTCGGTCCTCTTCCCTTAGATAAGCCATCCTCCTTTGTTCTAGCTCGTTCTTTTTCTTTAAATCATGTCTAGTAGTAGTGTGTTTAGTGAAGAGGGAGTAGAGTCTGATCAGGCCGAGGAGGGTACCTCGGCTCAAGACCTGAAGTCCGGTTCGGACAAGGTGGGTACCTCGATTCAGGACCGGCGAGTCTCCCATAAAAGGGCCTTGTCTTCCCATTACATAGCTTGTCCTAGAGAACCAGACCGCTTTGGTCCTTCCACGATGTCTACCGAAGAAGTCAGTGCTTTGGCTGCTTGGTACAAATTCCATGATTGGTATGGTTACTACCTTCCCTTAAAAGGTTTTCCCTAGGACCATGATGACGAGGAGATAACCGTCTTCACGGAGAACCTAAAGGATGAGCTTTGCTTTGCACTTCACCCATTCATCGTTGAAGCCTTGAAATTTTTTGATGTCACCATTAATCAGCTTCACCCGAACTTGGTCCGTACCCTGGTCAGCACCATTTCTCTTTTCCATGACTTCCGCCTCCCTTTAGAAATAAATACCTTCAGCTTGGTATGCTCAATAGAACAAAATCCCGTTAGTCCTACAGCCAAGGACAAATTTAGTTATTATAAGTCCTTCCGACCTGGATACAAACTCCTTCACAAGTACCCCTCAAAATTCCTGACCTAGAAAAGGAGATACTTTACTCTTGCTGTTGATAGGGGTGGCATTTCCCAACGCACTGGAGGAAAGGCATTAAGATGTACAACCTAGCAGAGTTTGGCCTGAAATTAGAGGATTACTTGACCAAGGAGAAGCTGGTTAAGGCCAGGCTTAGTCCTCTAGGTAGGTCACCACTTCGGGTGAAGGCACCTATTTTCATATTACTTCACTTTTGTGTTGCTTTGACTGACTTTCTACTTGTCTTCTACAGGCATCATGATT